AGCAGCTCAGGAGGCTGAGGCAGGAGGATCACAAGTTCAAAGCCAGAAATTTAGCAAGGCCCTGTCTCAAAATTAAAAAATGAAAAAGGGCTGGGGATGTGGCTCACTGGTTAAGCATTTTTGCACAAAAGGGACCAGGTCGGACACAAACTTCACAGGTCAGCACAGCTTTTATTTGAGAGCAGAGTGACGCCTCTGCTGGACCCACTTTCCTGGTGGAAGATGAGCCACCGGTCAAAGGGGATGTTTATGCATATATAGGTTACACATTAGAGAGGACTTAATTAATGAGTCTGTCAGTTTGGGCACTCAGAGATTTGAGATCTGTTCTTACTGGGCAAGATGGGGGGTACTTGGAGTAAGTGGTCAGTATCTGGGATTTGTCTTTACTGGGCCGGATGGAGGGTCTGGGGAAGGACTTGTTTGGGGAAGGATCAATGTCATTCCAGACCTGATGGATTGGGAAAGGATCAATGTATTGCGTTCTCCCTCATCCCCTCTCCCGAGGCCACATTATTTTGAGGTTTGTCATTTTCTATATCCAATAAAGCACCCCTGGGTTCAATCCCTGGTACCAAAAACAAAAACAGTGATTGTTTTTGTCAAAAAGCATTTTCCCCTCATGCTATTCTTGTGATTGATGAGTTTGCCTACATGCACTTCCTGACATATTACATGCCAGACAGGAGTGAGCTTTGTTTCAAAACAGAAAGCCAGTGGGGATGGAGAAGGCTTCGATGGAATCACAGCTTTGATCAAGTGCAGTGGAAAGCAGTTGGAGTGCTTTTATCAGGGAGGGACACAAGCCGATTGACCTTTTAAAAAGACCATCCTGGCAGGCGTCAAAGCAGGGCAATGAATAAGGAAGCTCTTATAATAAGGCAGGTGGGAGTTACAGATATGACAGTGGAGATGACAAAGGTAGATGTGCTGGGTGTGCACTTCCAGGGAGAACCAACAATTCTTGCCAATGGAGTGGACAGAAGGTGAGGACTTACAAGCTCTCAGTTCAAACAATGAGTGGATTTGGGGACCACTTATTTAGAAGAAATGTGGTTAGGGGCTGTATCACGTAAAAGAGGATGAGAAATCAAAGGTTGAAGTGGGGACACACTAAACTTGGGATTCTAATTTAAATATTTACATATTCAAAGAAAAGTAAAGTGGATAGTTTTCTAGAATGGTCAAATTTACCTCATTATTCCCATAAGTCAATAAGTTTGATAAGTTCGGGCTTATCAAAGCATTCACCTTCGAAGCCACATCAATTTTTATAGCAGCTCCACTCACAATAGCCAAACTATGGAACCAACCTAGGTGCCCTTCAACAGATGAATGGATAAAGAAAATGTGGTATATATATACAATGGAATATTACTCAGCCTTAAAGAAGAATGAAATTATGGCATTTGCCAGTTAATGGATAGAAATGGAGAATATCATGCAAAATAAGCCAATCCCCCAAAACAAAAAGCCAAATGTTCTCTGTGATATTTGGATGCTAATTCATAGTAAGTGGTTGGGGCTAGGGAAGAATATAGGTGCTTTGGATTAGACAGAGGGGAGGGAAAGGAGGAAAGAGGATATGAGAGTACCAAGGACAGTAAAATGAAACAAGCATTATTACCCTATGTGCATATATGATCACACGATAGGTGTAATTCTATATCATATACAATCAGAAGAATGAGAAGTTATACTCCATTTATGTTTATGTATGATGTGTCAAAATGCACTCTACCATCATGTATAACTAATTAGAACAAATTTAAAAAGTAGTCACCTAACTTTTCTGCTGCTTCCTTTCACCTCCTTTTTTGGCTCATTCTACTCTACCTTTGTATAATCATCAATTCAAATCTTGCCCTTTGAGGTTTTTTGGTTTTTGTATTGGGGTTGGTGTTTTTTTTTTTTGTTTTGTTTTTTTTTGTTTTTTTTTTTTGTCGTTGTTGTTATTGGTACCAGGGGTTGAACCCAGGGATGCTTAACCAATGAGCCACATCCCCAACCCTTTACTATTAGTTTTTATTTTGAGACAAGGTCTCTTTAAGTTGCTGAGGCTGGCCTTGAATTTATAATCCCCCTGCCTCAGCCTCCCGAGTTGCTGGGATTACAGGTGTCTGCCACCACACCTGACCAAAGTTTACTTCTTATAAAAAGAATTTATCTACTTTCCCAACCCTCAGTGGAATTTGCCAATAATTATTTCCTGTTCCATCCACATTTTCGGGCAACCCACAATATATCATCTTCTGGTGTTTTCCACTTGCTCCATTATCCCTTAAAAATATGGACTGCCTAGTTGAGCACCTGTATTTCCCACTCTGGGTAATATAATGCTAAATATGAACTTGAATTTGACACAGGACAAACTAGAGGAAAACAAGTTACTCAGAGGCACAAAATTTAAGGTACTCACTAATAGTGAAATTGTAGGGCCAAGGAATAAGTACATTTAAAAAAATTTTATGTATTATATAACCAACACTGTCTTCTTAAAAGATAGTACCAATTATAATGCCTCCAAAAACCAACCAGTCTATAATTGTTGCAAAACTTTGTCAAGACTAGATGTCAGCCAGATGTGGTGGTGCATGCCTATAATCCCAGCAACTCAGGAGGCTGAAGAAGCAGGAGGATCACAAGTTCAAGGTCAGCCTCAGCCAATTTGTGAGGCCCTAAAGACTTAGTGAGACCCTGTTTCAAAATAAAAAGTAAAAAAAAAAAAAAAAAAAAAGAGCTTGGGTTGAACTTTTCATGCTTTTGAAATAGCTTTGCTAAAATGCTCCCTCAGAAGAGTTAAGTAGCAGGAATCAGAAAGACAAGATGTCATCTCTGTGGAAAAATGTATACAGTGGCCAAAACAGAGGCAGAGGTTAAAGAAATGGCTAAAGGCATGCTGACCAAGGGCCAGAATTATTAGGAGAAATACAAGATTTTTAGGTTGACCAAATTTTCAAGCTTCAGAACTTTCTGATTATGTGAAATATACATCCCAAGCCCAGTAGTGCCTTTTTTTCACCCAAATTACTATCCTCTCCTACATGTTTCTTGTGACATTGTTTTTACACAGCTGGTCTATCTCTGCAATCCTTGAAGGTGATATTTTGTGTTAACAAGCTTTGTAGTTGGAGGGCTCAGCAGCTTCCTACAGAGTATGCAATGAATGTTAAGTTGAAATCTTAAAATACATATAGTGGGCCAGGCATTATCAATGACTCCTTGATAACTTTAGTAGGTAGGTCTTATTTTTCCAATTTTAGAGATGAGGAAATCAACTCTTGAGTTGACTTTCAGAAGCAATGTAGCTAACAAGTCATTTGCCTAGGATTTTCTCTCATGTCAACTCAGCTCCAAACTATGGTTGTTATTACTACCAATGTCTTTATACCTTTATTGTTAGTATTTCTTCCTTTTTAAATGCTGGTGTAAGCAGGGCATAGTGGCACACACAGGTAATCCCAGGAACTCAGGAGGCTGAGGCAGGAGGATCAAGGGCAGTCTCAGCAACTTAGCAAGGCCGTAAGACACACTGTCTCAAAATAAAAAAATAAAAAGGGCTGGGGATATAGCTTATACATAGAGTGCCCCTGGGTTCAATCATCAGTACCAAAGGGATAAAAACTTGTTTAGAGTCTTTGAATTTTTGATTTCATAATTTAACCTGTCAAAAGACACAATTCCAACAAATTAGTGTAAAGATCTGATTAGCTTTTATTTGTGATTGGAGAATTAAGCAATATCTCATTCCCCAAAAACTGTGCAGAGGAGGTTAGCTCTATGGGCTGACAGGAACTGAAAGAAGCAGGAACAAAAAAGAAGTTATTGCAAAATACTTTCCTGATGGGGTCAAAACAGAGGGCATTCTTCCTTATATTGTTGTCTCAATTTGACTGGAATCTCCTATTTTTGGAAAACTGGACTCATCCAAAGATCTCTTTGATTACAGGGCACTCAGCACAAATGACAGCATTCTGGTTTCGTTTGTCTACTGGGACCTATGGCCGGAGGGAAGTCCAAAACAATAGGCTCCCATAAATTTTACTTAATAAAACTGCTCAGAAATGAGAGTGCCCAGCCTACCTGTCACTTACTCGGAGGTTGTTTAGAATGGGAAATCTTCTCTGGTGGAACAAGGCTGTTGTGTTAAATCATACCTGCCTAGCCTAGAAGGCACATACCAAGTCCCAGTACAGCCAATTCCTAGCTGCCACCTACTAGCCACTTAGCATTTCTTGGTTTCAGTTTCCTTGTCAGTCAAATGGGATTAATAATTGTACCACCCCCACAGAATTGTGTGGACAATTCAAGAAATGGATACATGCAAAAAGCATTTGTGGCCCTGTTTAACAGTAAGTAATCCTTGAATTCTCAATCTCTGCCAGGGAAAACAAAGCAATCCAAATAAGAAAGAAAAGAAGTGTCTAACTAGGTATGGAATTCCAGGTAGCCAGCTTTCTCCCAAATGCTCCCTGCAAGCTCCACAATTAAAATATGGTGTACACCTGTAATCCCAGTGGCTCAGGAGGCTCAGCAGGAGGATCTGGAGTTCAAAGTCAGCCTCGGCAATTTAGGGAGCCTCTCAGCATGTAGTCAGACTGTCACAAAATAAAACACACCAAAAAAAAAGGTATGGGGGGAGGAAGGATAGGATGTGACTCAGTAGTTAAGCACTCCTGATATCAAAAAATAAACAAACAAATAAATAAAAATATGGCAATAAATATGTACTAAGTGGTATTTATTTATTGAATTAAAAGAGGAAAACGAAATTTAAAAATTAGCAAGCTCTGCCTGCCATGTCAAATCAATCAAACTACACAATGAATCAAATCTTTCCCTGCCTAAAAGATGTATGAGTGTACTTCACATTTGTAAGAAAAAGAACACGCCTTATTTGGCAAGACATAATCTTCATTCTTAAGATAAGAGAAACAGCTTAAAAAGCACTTTTGCCTGGATTGCACTGGCCAATCAGAATCTCCGGATTTGTTCTTTGTACTACACTGCAGTAGAAAGCCTCTACCTCTCCACCGAAGAGCTTCCACTTCTAGTAAGAGCCTCTCCTGGGCCACAAGACACTTCCTGCTCCAAGCCCATTTTGTAATTGTAAGTACTTTGAGATTAAAAACTTCTTTAAAAATTCATCTTAACACTGCAGGGGGGGATAATCGTTCTTTACAGAAATTTGATTTTCTTGTTTTTGTTCCTAAAATGCCATAGTTTCAGCTGAAAGATCATTGCTTTCTTTATCTAATTGCTTTAAATTTAATAATTTTAGTCAAATTTTAGTGTTTTGCTACATACCATGCTTTCAAAGTAATGGAAGATACAAGCTTTGAATCCTCCTCAAATACTGCTTTCAGCAGGAAACACATATTATGAGTTGTATTTACTAACTTGATCATTTAATTTCACCACATATGCATGTGTACTTGGGCTTGTCTAATTTCTCTGTGTGTGCAAAATATTTTATCTATATAAAATGTTTGGCAACAAGATATGGGAATATTGTACATTTAGCTAATAAATTATAAGAATCCTTGAATTCTCATTAGGAAAGTAAGAAAAACAGACTAATATCAAAATTAAATTCTGCTATTCGCTGATATGTATAAAGAGAGATCTCGAATTGGATAGCTTACATGAGAGATTATGTAATGAAAAATGCTTCAAGCAAAGCAAAAAAATTAAATATAAATATATAGTAGAAAGAAAAAAGAAATCTAAGTAATATGCCTAGTATCTGGGTTAATCAATATTACTAGTACTTATTAATTGATTAATGCAACATAGCATATTAATAATCCTAATTTTCTAAGATACTGGACTGTCCTCCACAACAGTGCAGTGTTCGCAGGCAGAGGAGACAGGTACAAGGTTGATCCAACTATAACTAGTGTATAAAATTAAGATATTCAAAATGTGAGCCAAATCCTGCAAGATTTCCTACAATGAGACCATTCCATGTAAAGAAAGTTCTAAAGAAAGGCACTGTCACCTCACACTTCAAGGTTTATCCACCAAGATCCCCACTTCGGTTCTTCCTGCCTCCATTTTTCCTTTTTCCTGAGTAGCTCCCACCAATTTGATCACTCTTTCTGTTCTGTGGGATCCAAGATGGCAGGAAACCAAATAAATGCATGGTCCGGCAGTGATGAGGAGAGCTGCAGGCCATGGACAGAGAACCACCGACATCTCATTAGCACTTATCAAATATAGCACAACTCTTACACAAGTGAGTGCTCAATACATATTTTCTAAATGGAATTGGACTTAGTTATTAATAACAGAAGAAAAAGGAAAAGGCAAGGACAAGGTGATACAAAGTATGCTCAGCTAGGCCCCTGACATGTGAGGGCTCTTTATTGGTGGGCAACTAAGGGGCCATGAGGTGGTTTAGCATATGATCCTTGGGCATATGGAAGGCTCTGGCATGTGTTACATCTTCCTGGAGAAAGGACACATTTTTCTAATTCTCACCAGACAGCCACAAACTCACCAAGCTGAGTCTACACAGAAGTGCCACCTTTTTCAGTTTTGCATGATAGTGACCCGTGGTACAGGGACAGCAGCCCTGCAGGTGATCATCACAGATTCTAGGACCTTAGTCTGTTCTACCTAAGGTATAGTTTCTAAAGATAGTGTCCAGGTATCTACAAACTTTCCAAGTATTTTTTACACAGATTAAGTTTTGGAGATCGCTGAACTAAGGGGACAGGTACAAGCATAAGGTCCCTGAAAAATCTTAGAAATACTCCCACACTAAGATCTCCAGGAATTTCCTTTTTTTTTCCCCCTCCACTTCCTTAAATGACTAAGGTTAAAGAAATTCTTGGATAGTTAATGGTTGAAGCAGAGCCAACTGCAGTTGTTTAGGATATTTTACATTTGCTTCTGTTTTATATTTGTTGCAACTTAAAAGAAGCCTAGTATTTTGAAATGATCACAGAGCAGCATAAGAGCAAATGTGTTGCTTTCTTCTCTCAGGGTTGGTTGTTTTTCGTTTGTTTTTTTTTTTTTTTTGAGGGGAGGTTTTTTTATTTGCAGTGCTGGGAGCCAAATTTAGCTTTGCACATGCTAGGCATATACTCCCCCACTGTGCTACACTCCCTGCCCCTCATCTCAGGTTTGCAACTATGCAGAAGGTATCTCATGGGAGAAGTCACAAGGCTTTCTTCAAAATAAGCTTAAGGTGACAGGTGGCAATCCTGAATGTTAGTTCCCTCTAGGACTGCTCTTCTGGGCAGGACTGGGCAGAGCAGATTTCTCAACCACTGTGGGTAACTTTCACTGGAGAGGAACTTCTCTATTAGAAATCTCTTGGGGCTCCAAGCTCCACTTCAGTTCCCAGGGCTAAAGTGGCCACTGGAAGCACCTTGATCCTCACAGTTTCCCACATTTTAAAAGAGGAAGTCAATAGTAGTGGAAGAAACCAATGCATACAGCATTGACGGTTGGGCCAAAGACTGTGGTCCACCACAAGAAGGAAATAAACTTGCATACAAACTAACTGTCAGTCAGCATATGGGTAATTTGGTTGCAGCTGCTTGCTTCAGACTACACAGATTGCCTATGATTGGACTTCAAAGGCACTCAGCAAATGTCCAGTCTCAAAGTTCTAGGAAGTCTAACAGTAGACAATTTGAATACACAAATACATATGTCATATAGTGAGGGAGGACAGTCAGGTACGGGAAAGGACAATCAGATAATGGCAGGCCAGTTTTTATTCTGAAATTTTTAGATTGCTGTTATTATATTTAAAATCACACTGTAGGTCCCTTGAAAAATAAATGAGCTAAAGGAACGTGTTTTTCCTCTGAAAGAAATTACAGAAAGGATATTTATTCACTTACCCATTCAACTGCTATTTATCAAATAAGCATTGCTTCAGGTTTCAGAGGGGTTGGGGAGACAACTATAGAATCACCAGCATGGTCCCTTTAAGTTTTTCTTTTAGTCTCTGGATTTGCTTTTGTTTCCAAACAGGCTATCTCTTGTTTTGATTATAAAAGAAATAAATGCAAGCTGTAATGTTTTGCAGGGCTGGGGCTCAAGCCAAGGACCTCACACATGTGAAGTGAACAGTCTCCACTGAACTACACCCTCAGCACTAAAAGTATTTTCCAGACAATACAGAAAATTATAAAGATAAAAATGGGAAGGAAAAAAAAACCTATCAGCCAATCACCCAAGAGATAACCATATAACATTAGCCTTTCATAATTTTTCTGGTATTTGATTATTAAAAGGGAATACAAAAGAAATCTGAATATGCTTCTTTGAGCATGTCCTGTAATAACTTTTCCCCCAAAACACTGTAGGAAGCCACTACCCAAAATATAATTTTTATCATTTTAGCACTGGAGTTCTGGATGTAGGGGGAGACCTGGATTCTAATGTATCTGGAGCCCTAAGGGGTCTTGTGAAATGCGACCTCCCCAATTACTGAGTGTTTTCCAGCGCTGGGCACTTGGCAGTGTTTAAAATTTGGGGGGGCGGGGGCAAATGGGGATTGAACCCAGGGGCGCTTAACTTCTAGACGACATCCATAGTTCTTTTTATTTTTTTTATTTTGAAACAAGGTCTCATTAAGTTCCTTAGGGCCTCAGTTGCTGACGCTGGCTTTGAACTCGGATCCTCCCGCTTGGCAATGTTTCAAATGCATTTTCTCCCCGGACCGCAAGCACAGCCTGGGCAGGATGGAAAGAAAAGAAAGTGCGCGCGGGGCTGGGGACGCCGTTAGCGAGCACCGACTGGATACCCGGTGTCTGCTAATATCTCAAAACCGTAGATCAAAATTCCCGGTCCTGTAGTGCTTCCTTTTCTCCCAAGCAAGCTAATTATTGAGGAAGGGGTAAGCAATGGAAACTGGATTATCTCAGTTTCTTTACTTCCTAGTTTCTGAGATTGACGGAATGCGTTGAGAGAGCTGTGCTTGCGTCCCGTTGATGTGGGACGTGGGCATGTACAACAGGAATCGGACCTAGGACCATCTAATAAGCGTTCACATCCCGTCTTACTTTCCGATCAGTGCTGTGAGCAGACACCACTTGCTGTCAAGTTCCACATTTATGAACGCTGGTGAGACTGGCGCCCGAGGTCGGCGGAGCGAGCAGCCCCCGGCCAGCTCCCTAGTGTCTGCGGCTGGAGCTCCTGCTCCTGGGCATCCCGGACGCCCGCGGCGGTTCCCGCCAAGTCCCCGCGGGCCGCGGCCGCCCGGATCGAGCCGCCCAAGTTCCAAGAATCTGTGGCTCCTTCCCTCCCGCCAGCGGCCCCGCAAGGTGCAACCACCTGGAGCTGGTTGTCCCAGATTGCGTGAGCGTCATCAGTGTCTGCCTGCGGTGGACTCTGTGCTGGCTGCCCTCACCATTCCGAGGCAGATGAGGTCTGGTCCTAGCAGAAGTGACCCACGGATAAATTCACAACACGGGCGGGAGGCAGAATGGGAGGGAAGCGGCAGAAAACCTCCCTCACCCAACTTCGGCTGTGTCACCATCCCTTGTCCAGCCGTGGCAGAGGAGTCCCACAGCCGCTGCGGGGAAGGGACTTAAGCCCAGGGGTACACCCCACCTCTCTGCTTCTCTGACCCTGCTCCCTAGTAGGAGTGCCAGATCCAGAGTGCAGCCAGACAAGTTCACTCTATCCCTTCCTCCCCTGATGAAACCAGACATGATGTTGGTATCATGCTATTTGTTACTTAATCTGTAGATCTTCCTCGAATTTGACCAACTGACCCACTAATGTTCTAGGAAAGAGAAAAGCAGCCCAAGACCCGAAGAAGCTCGTGGGGCTACCAGCCAGGCTTTGTTGCTTGTAGGTTGTTGCTTGCCTTCACAGAGCATTAGCATCAGATAAGGGTACTGTGACCATAATGGGTCAAGATAAAAACACCAGCATTCCATAGTCATACCTGGACACCATGAACTTTAAACATTGTCCAAGTTTAAAGTTCTTTTCTGGCTTGTCTTTTCTGGCTAAAAAGAAGTGACTGCTGCCACTTTACGTGTTGCACATTTAGCCTTCTCTTGCCAGCTTTCCTCACAGATGATTTATTAAAATTGCCTGGTCATAAAATCGCCTGCACTTTCTGACAGCTCCTCCAC